CCTGAACTCTGGGCCTGAGCATTGTCCCTCAGCTCTTCAGCTCAAGGCTAGTGCTCTACCACTTGAGCCACAGCGCCACTTCCGGCTTTTTTCTTTTTGCATATGTGGTGCTGAGGAATTGAACCCAGGGCCTCATGCATGCAAGGCAAGCACTCTACCACTGAGCCACCTTCCCAGCCCCTCTTTGTTTTATTTTATCTTGAGACAGGTTCTTCCTGCTCAGGCTGACCTTGGACTCTTTTTTTTCTCATCAGAAAAGTCTCTAGGATTTGGCCTGGTACTGGTGGCTCACACCTGTAATCCTAACTACTCAGGAGGCTGAGATCTGAGGATTGTGGTTCAAAGCCAGTCTGGGTAGGAAAGTCCATGAGACTCTTACCTCCAGTTAACCACCAGAAGTCCGGAAATGGGGCTATGGCTCAAGTGTTTGAGTGCCAGCTTTGAGCAAAAGGAGCCAAGGGACAGCACTCAGCCCCAGAGTTAAAGCCCCAGGGCTGACAAAAAAAAAAAGTCTCATGGACTTTCCTACCTGTGCTGGCTTTGAGCTGCAATTCCCAGATCTCAGCCCCCTGAGTAGCTAGGATTACAGGCAGGAGCCACTGGAGCCACATTTGACATTGGACTCTTAATCTACCCTTGGGATTCCTGCTGTACTCCATATGATGCTTCTGCAAGAACCTGTAGGTAAAAGAACAAGCAGAGCTAGTTGGGAGAGCTCCATTATTTTAGGATGACTGAGCTCAGGAAGCTTAGCTTAGTAAAAGTAAATTTAGGGGAGTAGACACTACTTATAGAAAGTGTTATGACTATCTACAAGGACAGATGTAGGACAAGATAATTTCCCATAAAAAAGGCCAACTTTGGGTCTGGGAAGGTATCTCAGTGGTAGAGTGCTTGCCTTGCATGCCTGAGGCCCTGGGTTTGATTCCCCAGCACCACATAAGCAAAAAGAAAAAAAAGCCGGAAGTGGTGCTGTGGCTCAAGTGGTAGAGGGCTAGCCTTGAGCTGAAGAGCTGAGGGACAGCGCCCAGGCCCAGAGTTCAGGCCCCGCGATCGGACCCCCACCCCACCCCCACCCCCCACCCCCGCTAAAAAAAAAGGCCAACTTTCCATCAAGGAGAGCTGCCTAAAAGAACAAAACTGTCTCATACGGAAGTAGAGAGAAACAAATATGAGAACCCTTAGAATCCCATGATAACATTTGCAGATATAATTTTAGAAACTGTATGCTGCTTTGCTTTCAGTTATCAATCATTCTGTATTAATGTGACCGCAAATCCAAATGTAAACTTAGGCATGGAAATGATACAGGACAGGTCTGAAGTGTATGGATTAGCAGTGCAGCCCTTGATAAGAACATGTAAGACTTTGCCTTCTATCCCTAGCACTGCCAAACTTAGTAAGTAGGTGAAGTTATCACATATACTCAAAATCTCAATTTCATTCTGGAGAATAGATGGATCCAACAAAATTTAAGTGAAGATTTGAACTCTTGTGATTTTTTTTTTGGGGGGGGTGTCCGGTCGTGGGGCCTGAACACTGGGCCTGGGTACTGTCCCTCAGCTCTTCAGCTCAAGGCTAGCTAGCGCTCTACCACCTGAGCCACAGCAC